TGGCATTGCCTTTCTTTGGGATTGGAATGAAAACTGACCTTTTCCAGTCCTGTGGCCACTGCTGAGTTTTCCAAATTTGCTGGCATATTGAGTGCAGCACTTTCACAGCATCATCTTTCAGGATTTGAAATAGCTCAACTGGAATTCCATCACCTCCACTAGCTTTGTTCATAGTGATGCTTCCTAAGGCCCACTTGACTTCACATTCCAGGATGTCTGGCTCTAGGTGAGTGATCACACCATCGTGATTATCTGGGTCATGAAGATCTTTTTTGTACAGTTCTTCTGTGTATTCTTGCCACCTCTTCTTAATATCTTCTGCTTCTGTTAGGTCCATACCATTTCTGTCCTTTATTGAGCCCATCTTTGCTTGAAATATTCCCTTGGTATCTCTAATTTTCTTGAAGAGATCTCTAGTCTTTCCTATTCTATTGTTTGCCTCTATTTCTTTACACTGATAACAAAATTATATCTGACTAAAAATGAACCCTCTGCTTTGAATGCAATAATGCACAAGAACATATATTTCAGAGAAATAGTTACACTGGATGGTTAAAATGTCTGCTTTAAGTTCCAGTTGTAAACTGTATATAAAATCTGAAAGAGCTATTTTAAAAATACTTCTCATTTACATTTGAAAACCTGTTTATTTCTCCCATGAATAAAGTCATACTTTTCTGTTCTTTCTCTCCTGATTACAAACTTTTTCAAGCTGACTAAAATTTGCACATTCAATCTGACTTTTTGTCTTCTGGGAAAGTTTTTGTGACAATGACTAATCTGTTCAAAGGTGATATTGTAAGACAACAATCATTATTTAAGGAGATAACTAGGGAGATCAAAATTGGAGTAGGAGGGAGGTCTGCTCACCTCCCCCCAGGAACACATCAAAAATGGATCTACAGATGAAGCAGTTCTCTTTGAAAACAAACTGGGGACTGGAAGGAAGACTATTATACAACGAAGATTGTAAGAAAGACCGACATGGAGTTGGCCAGGAAGGAAAGAGAAACAATCGGGTCAGGACCTGTAACACAGACTTAGAATCCTCCCTGGAGAGTGAGTGGCTCAAGCCATACATTGGGCACCTCAGCCCTCAGTTTGGACACTGGGTGGATAAGTCCCCTTGGCTTGTTTGAAGATCAGTGGGACTGGCAGTGGGGCTAAGAGAAATGTGAACTCCACTCATGAAAAGTGCACACACAGGCTTGCTTGTTCTCAAAAAGAAGGAGAGGAAGAAGATTGAGACTGCCTGAGATTCTGCATGGTTTCCTGCAACTGCCCCTCCATCTGCCCCAACCCAGGTCACACGCTCGGGTACCACTTGATCTGCAGCACAACCGCCGACTTGGATGAAAGCTGCCACTGATGAGGAGCGTGTGCAGTTGTGGGGAACGGAACTGGCCCAGAGGCAGCACCACATCTGAATGGGTCTGGGGTAGCTGCTGCTGGTACTCTTGGAAGCAGCAGACTGGCAGTGGTCTGGAACTCCGGTGTGCCTGGAGGACGCAAAGGTATTCTGAGTTCATGGATTGGAAGAACATTACAGTGTCCATACTGCCCAAAGCAATCTACAGATTTAATGCAGTCCTTATCAAACTACCCATGATGTTTTCCATTTAATGCAGTCCTTATCAAACTACCCATGATGTTTTCCACAAAACTAGAAGAAACAATTCTAAAATTTATTTGGAATCACAGAAGACTCCGAATAGCCAGAGCAGTCTTGGGGAAAAGGACACAGCTGGAGATATCACAACTCCCTGACTTCAGACTATTCTACAAAGCTTCTGTAATCAAAACAGTATTTTACTGGAACAAAAACAGATACATAAATTAATGAACAGAAAAATCGAGAATGCAGAAATAAATCCATGCACTTATGGTCAATTAATTTATAATACAGGAAGCAAGAATATAGAATGAAGATTGTGTCTTCAGTAAGTAGGGCTGGGAAAACTGAACAGTTACATGTAAAAGAATGAAATTAGAACATTTTCTCACATCATACACAAAAACAAATTCACAATGAATCAAGTACTTAAATGTAAGATCAGAAAACATAAAATTCATAGAAGAAAACAGGCTCAAACAGCCTTTGACCTACACTGTATCATTATTTTTATTTTTTTGGATCTGTCTCCTATGGAAAGCAAAACAGAGCCAAAAATAAACAAATGGGAACTAATTAAATTAAAAACTTTTGGACAGCAAAGGTAATCAACAAAATGAAAACACAGTCTATGAATGGGAGAAAATATTTTCAAATGATATAACCAATATGGAGTAAACACCCAAAATATATAAACAGCTCATACAACTCAATATTAAAAGCTCAAATCAATTAAAAACTAAGCAAAAAAAAAATGAACATTTTTCCAAAGAAGAAATACAGACAGCCAACAGGCAATTGAAAAAATGCTCAATATCACTAATCATCAGAGAAATGCAAATCAAAACCACAATGAGGCATTACATCAGTTCAATTCAGTTCAGTCGCTCAGTCGTGTCCGACTCTTCGTGACCCCATGGACCATATAGCACGCCAGGCCTCCCTGTCCATTACCTCACACCTGTCAAATTGATGAAGCCATCATGGAAGATACTATAGAAAAAACTAAAGACAGGACTGCCATATGATCCAGCAATGCCACTGCTGGGTATATATCTGGAGAAAACAAAAACACTAATTTGAAAAGATATGTGCACCCCAATATTTATTGCAGTATTATTTATAGTAGCCAAGATATGAAAGACACAAACTATACATCCATTAACAGTTTAATGCGTGTGGTATGTATATAGAATGGAATATCCCTCAGCTATAAAAAATAATGAAATTCTGCTACTGACAACACCATGCACCTGGAAGGTGTTATGCTTACTGAAATACCAAACACTATATTTCATCACTTACATGTTGAATCTAAAAAATAAAAAAAAAAACTAATGAATACAACAAAACAGAAAAATAATCATAGATATAAAGTACAAACTCATAGTTACCAGAGGGACTAGGGGAGGGGAAAGACAGGGGTAGGGGATAAAGAGTTATAAGCCACTATCTATAACAAATAAAATATACAAGTTACAAAGATATATTGTTCAGCACACGGAATATAGTCAATACTTTCTAATAATGTTATATGCAGCATAAGCTATGATAATACTGAATCACAATGTTTTACACTGAAATTAATATAATATTGTAAATCCTTTATACTTCAGATTTTTTTTCAAGGCTATAAATGTAAGATTTTGCAATTATTTAATCTGAAGTAACTGAATACAAAGCATGGAAATGAAGATATATGTATATGCATACATACATACATTTTATTATATGTAAAGATATGTGACCAAAGGGATTTTATCAATAGCAGTAAAGTTTAGCAGTTCTGAGGAGACACTTGGGAATTGGACACATTTGGGTAAGAGTCTATGCTCTAAATTTTTAAAACTTCAGCTTTTCCTGATGCCTCAACATCCTCATAAACAGGCTCTGGGTCCCCCTTCCCAGTGACCAGGCGCACCGGGACAGTAAAGCTGGCCTCTTCCACAAGCTCCCCTCATTGGCCTCCTCTGACTGACCTGGTGACATTAAAACGCACCAGTGAATTCCCTCACCTCTTTGGCTGTATTCTCGGCCTGACCCCCAGTAGAGGCACTAGCCCACAGATCCTCTCTCTCTCCTCCCCACCGTCTTGCTGAGCTCACTCCCATGGCCCCCTCCAGTGTGGCCCTCTGCGCACGGCACAGCATGGTGTAAAACAGGGTGCCTCTCTCTTCCGGGACTCATGGGCATCATAAATCACTTTCACCTTGATATGCCTCTCCATGATGTTATTCCATGTCTACAGCAGACTGACCATCAAAAAATTCCATTTTGAGTGACATAATTATTCCTCACAATACAGAGTCCTTGCTCGGTCTCTTATTATCTGTGAGACCTGGAGTAAGTGATTTAGCACTGTTTCTAAAATACATTGAACCTGTATTTTAAGGTTAAGACATTGCTTTAGTATCATCACGCATATATAGTGCTTAACTTGGAGTTTAATGCTTGGAGATTGCTGAATAAAAAGCAATTGTTACTATTGCTAAAATATTAGAAAGCAGAAAGAAAGTAAGAAAGGCAAACAGACTTGTGATGAGGAAATATGGCAATTTTTTATATTCAGAAACAATAGCATCTGTGAATGAGAATAACATACTGGAATCTTAAATAGCTTTAGGAGAAGCTGTGATTTCAAGGTGCTGGCATAATGGTAAGGAACAAATGCAGGGTGGTGGCACTTTTGAGTAAGGCTCTTGAACAGCCTTTGTTCAATGTGCCTCAATCCCAAGAAGGCCTGGAACGCACCAAAACCTTCCTGATGTGTGGGTTTTAGCTAGGAAGAACTTTGGCTATTTAGCTATGGAAATCATAGTATAGATATGTTTCCAAAATCAAACTTTCTTGCACATGCCCAGTCCTTGCATGAACAGCATGGCACCAGTGACTGTGAGATAAGCGATTTTGTTCCTATAGGTGATGATCAGAAGACCAGCATGCAGAAAACTCCTATATTGCCTGGCTTCATAGAAAGAAAATACACAATCCTTATCCAATGTGAAACATGGTGTGAGAATACACTCAAGAGAACAAGGAAGAGGGGAAATGTGACCACTGGCTATGTTTTGCAGAGCAATATACAGAAAGCCTCAGTTACTTTGAAATTTTTAAAAAACTGAAATATGCAGTATAATGCAATGAGGAGACAGAATGGACTAAGAATGAAGGGCACGAGTTCTGGAATTGATTAAATTAATAAATCTATTATTAAATCCTCAACAAAGCGCAGGAAAAAAATAGGCACTCAAGTTAACCCTTAGTTGAAAATACCCAGAATGGGGCCGCAGTGCGCGTGCGCCGTGCGGTCTGGGGCGGGCGGCGGCGGCCGCGGAGCGGAGCGGGGGCGGGGCGGCGCCGTCTGGCTCTGTCTGGCCGGGGCGGGAACGCGGCACGGGACGGCAGGGCCCAAGGGCTGCGGACGGCGGCCTAGGAGGCCAGCAGAGTACTTAAGATTTCACGCATTTTTGCTGAACTTGTTTTAAAAAAAAAAGCGCTTGGGATGATGGATTAACAAGAACATTGAAATTCTGTGAAAAGTTTCAAATTGGAGCATATTGAGTTTTCACCCTAGTCCAGCAGCTGTGCTTCTCACTTAAATACAGATGAATGAAGACCCCATTCGGAAAGACACCTGGCCAGCGGTCCAGAGCTGATGCAGGCCATGCTGGTGTATCTGCAAGCATGATGAAGAAAAGGACATCCCACAGCAACATCTCGAATCAGTGATGCACACCTAGCCGACACAATGATTGGCAAAGCAGTGGAGCACATGTTTGAGACAGAGGACGGCTCTAAAGACGAGTGGAGGGGAATGGTCTTAGCACGCGCCCCTATCATGAACACATGGTTTTACATCACCTATGGGAAAGATCCTGTCTTATACATGTACCAGCTCTTAGATGATTATAAAGAAGGCGACCTTCGCATTATGCCCGATTCTAATGATTCACCTCCAGCAGAAAGGGAACCGGGAGAAGTTGTGGACAGCCTGGTGGGCAAACAAGAGGAATATGCCAAAGAAGATGGCTCTAAAAGGACTGGCATGGTCATTCATCAAGTAGAAGCCAAACCGTCTGTCTATTTCATCAAGTTTGATGATGATTTCCATATTTATGTCTACGATTTGGTGAAAACATCCTAGATGTCATCACGAACTTTACCAATTGTGGAACTATTAAATGTATAATTTGTAGACATAAAGACTTGATTGCTTTCCAGTTTAATGAAAGCTTAAATGTCCCTGCGAACCCACAATCTCTGCCAGCAGAACTGGTTTTGTTCTGAATCGTACAGATTTATGTGAACACAAATCATTTTGTGTGAGGAACTCCTTCCTCTTAAAAGAAGTCTGTCTGTTTGGAAGGGAGTTACAGGCAAGTCTGGTAAAAGTTAAGCTAGTATCATGTCATTTAAAACTGTAATAGATCTTACCCACTTTCCCCTTCACTCTTGACACACTCTGCTGCCACAATGCAAGCATAGTTTGGTTGCATTTTTGTTACTGCTTTTTTTTTTTTAAAGATATATATGTATGCATATCTATCTACCTATCTATACCTGTGTGTATACATATATAATATATATATACACACACACAGATCTGTGTACACACACACACACACACACACACACACTTCATTGGCAGTTCTTTCTTTGTGGATTGAGGTAGGAGTTAAATAATTTTCTCCAGTTTAACAGGAGTGCTTGACTTTATATCACTGCTGTTTATTTAAAAATTAAAACTGGGCACAGGAAGAACATGGGGACATTCAGCTTGTGTTGAAAGTCAGAAGTTCAGAGCACCATTTCAATCCAGAGGCTTTAAACTGTAAATTCAAACATGAATCACTTGTGGATGTTTAATGACCCACATTAGAATTTACAAAACAATTAGAAATCTAGGTAAAGGCTGCCTTTTAATTCTAAGCTTTGTACATTTTTTGTTTACATATTTTTTTTTTAATCTTAAATACCTTTTTAAAGCAAAGTCCAGGTACTTGGTCCACATTGTGTAATACAGGTGTATTTTGGATGATGCATTTGGTCCACTATTTGTACAAATTAGTAGTCTGGGTTTTAGTACATGGATTTAAAAGGCAACAGTATATCAGTGGTTTATGTGTATTTGGTAAGTTCCTGGAAGAACATAGTACTTTTATATTAGAAATGTAAGAATGGCATTATTGTCTTTTACCAAGTTCTCTCGAATCCCTTTGTTATTATTACTGTTATTACTGGTGTATGATTATGGTCAGAAGGCTTCTCCCCCTCGACTTTCCCTCTCAAAGAATGTCTAGACAATTAACAGCTTAAATTCCTGACACCTTTTTTGGTGCTGTATGTTCTTGCTCATGGTGTGCTGATACTGTGGATTCATTCTATTTGGTGGGTCCTGCCGCATCAGGGTCGGTCGCCTGCACTGGCTTGTGGGTGTGACTGATCGCAGCCCTTAGCCGTTGAAACCTTCCCTGCAAAGCTGTTTGAACTAAAATAGAACCACAAAAGTGGTTCGTTTAGCAGCAAAACGTCAGCCTCTCACTTTGTTTTGGATGATCCCTGGCAGTTTGAAAGCTGGCTGGGAGAAAGATGGTTTGTGAAACCAGTCTTGTAGAGGTTGAAAATCTTACCCAAGATTTGGGTAGAAAGCTTAAATACATAGACTGGCAATCAGACACCAGGTGTGTGTGACCCCTCTCATAGCTGCTCTTGATGAAAAAGCGGTTATTTAGTTTCAAGGCCCCGCTGTACGTGGTTTGTGTGACGCCTGTTTTCGCTTCCGGAAGGCCTGCCTTGTGCGGGTGTACGGTGCCCTTGTGCGCCATGTACACCCAGCAGCCTGCTTCTCTGCAGTGTGCCCTCACCCTGGGTGGTCGGGGTGAGCTGCTCCATGCAGTGAGTACCTAGGTCTTAGATGTCCCTTCTGTGGTTCAAACAAGTGTCGTGCTACAGATCTGTTGTCTGTTCTGCTGGTGGCTCTTGTAAGAGTTCCTGCATGTGAATCTCAAGGCTGAGCGCAGCTCCCCAAGTCCAAGTGGACACGAATGGCCCAGAGAGTGAGTTGTCCAGTGTGAGCTGCAGGAACAGGACACAGTGACTATAGGCTGAAAAATGAAGTCCTTTGGTGGGATCCTGAGGGTTGGGTCAGTTGAAACATTTTTTGCATTACTTAATGACTTGCATTGTGGTTTTTCTGCAAGTACCTTTAGTAACTTTTAATATACCACATGATCTGCCACTCTCTAGATAAATGTGACATGTGATTTGTTATCATTATTATTTTAATCATTGTTCCATTTATTGCCTTTAGGGTTGAAGGAAGGGGAAGGGGTTTTATGTTGATGTTTTCCCTTTTTTTTTTTTTTTCCCATTCTTTTTCTTTTGGTGGCTTAAACCACACTTCCTGATGCCATGACTAACTGCTTCCCAGCTGAGTATTTCAGGCTTCATTTAGGCTCATGTTTCAGATCTGCATGCATTGCTTGCATTTTCCTGGTATCGGAATGTTGGTTCCTTGTTCTAGGAATACAACATTAATTTCCAAAATTATCATGGGACTTGTGACAACACAAGACATGAATCTCTGTATAAAATGTATTGGCCTTTCTCATTGACCTGCTATAGTATTATTGTGTCGTGTGTGTGCGTGTGTGATGTCTGGCTGCCACGTAAAGCTTCAAAGGAAGACCTTAAAAGCAGACCATCCTTTTTTGCATGCTCTATTCTAAGTAGAATGTTCAATGTAACTAACTAAAATTGCATGTTAAATATATTTAGGTTTTTTGGTTTCTATCTTTGTTTTTATTTGTTTTCAGTTTCTGTATATTTGCTTAACTGTGCTGTTTTAGTGGTTGTAGGATATAAATGCACTGGTGAAGCAAATGTAGTGCCAACAGAAGGTGATTTTCCTGTTGTGTATGTCTTGCAGCATTTGAAGGGACTGTGCATTCTTAAAACAATCACAGTTGCTTCTAAACCAGATTTCATTTCTATTATTGTTTTACGTGCCAAACCCCGAAGTGCATTGGGCTTGAATCTCTGAACGCCGTGGACCCATTAGAAGACTGTTTTGATTGTCACAAATTGTAGTGCCTGAAAACATTATTAAGCTGATTGTCTTAAAAAAAAAGTTCTCCAAAGACAAAACAGGAATAATTATTATAACAGAAAACAATTATGGTTGAAATGTCTGTGGTTCCTTGGAAATGCTGCGCTTTTTGTATTTTCCATCATTAGTGCAGTTGAACGAATGTGTATAGTTCAGAGGTCTTCGTGTTCGCATTTTAAAATTAGGTAAATGACCTCATCTTTCAAGCTTGAATTCATTTTTAATTTTAATTTTATTTTATACAATGTGTAGACAGTTCCCTGTTCTCTGCATTTAGAAGTATAAACAATATAAAGCTGTTAATTCTGTAAGTAATTTTTATAATTATGATGTAACTCTATCCTATCCTTAAAACATTTAAAATAAACCCTTTATGTGCAAAAAAATAAAATAAAATAAAATACCCAGAATGATCAAAATAAAGTCTAAGTTTTAGAGATTTGGTTTCTGATGACATAGGAAAACCAAAATACCATCAACTCCATGTGTAATGCTGAGTCTATTACACTTGCTAATGCATATTTACTTAATCATAAAAATTCATTTTTTTCAACCTTAAAACGAATGGAATTCAGAAAAGGAAGAAGAAAGAGAACATTAATTAGTTGGGTCTCAGTGAGCACCATAGTAAGAAACTGTCATGCTGATCTTACTTATTACCCAGCAGAAATTCAGCCAGTCATGTTCACGGTACTCAATTTATGGCTATAGATGATAATCTTTCTCACTAAGGATGATCAGTCCAATTGGCCAGTAATAGAAAGCCTACAATAATTTCTAATCAGCATACAAAGACCACAGTTTTGTTACATGAACTGTTTAGAACATTCAAAACTCCCAATAAAAGCCTCCTGTGCACACAATCACAGTTGAATTAAGGTGACTGAATCACATCTATTTATAGTTAGCAAATATTTAAGGAAGTTAAAATTTTTGTTAACAATTCTTAAAAAATTGTGTCATGGTTATCTGATAGTTCTTTTCTGACTGATCACTTCTAGGTGCAAAGTGGTAGAAATACACTACTCAGACTGATACTACTCTCACACAATTTACTACATAAAAATGAGAATGCAAGAACTGTGTGATGTTACCCCAAAGTCCAGGCTGATAAAGAATGAGAAATACAAAGACTCCAAAGTCTGACCTTTTGGTTATATGTTACTTTTCGCCTACATACACACGGTACTATATGTTATTTTATAAATGGTTTCTATATTTAGTAAAATTTCAAAAGTATATTTAAAGAATTATTTTTAATGTAGCTTTCATATGAAATGCTCAGAGATTTTGCACGTTTACCAACGCCAGCTCCTTATGGGCTTGGTTTTGCTCACCTCTTTTGCTGCTTTCCATCATCAGCTAAAGAATTATGGAGTCAGCATGTTTAGAGCAAGCCCCCCCAGTCTCACACAAGCACAATGCCTTTGAAATCGAAATGAAACCTTTTTTAAAATGGCAGAGTGATTTATTTGCTGACTATACTTTAATAAGAGCAAGTAGATTTATGTTGTGAACTAAAGAGAATAATTTATAGCTGGAAGATCAAGTAATTTAGAAATCAGTGTCATTGAAATGAGGATTGATGACCAAGGCAAATCATCTCACAGATTTTCTATTTCTACTGTTACTTCTCCTACCACTGTGTATGCTTACATAAAAGAAATGATTAAGAAATAGAAAATAAATGTCAAGAGCAGTTACAAAATGGAGTGAGTGAAGGAATGAGCCCAGAGGAAACCATCTCTTTCTTCATGGGCTGTTCACATGGGTCCTATCCTTTTAGGCTGGACCTTATCTACTGTTTTGTCAGCACCTTACCAATCTGTTTCCAAGGAAACAAATCACATCATTCTAAATATACCAAGGAAAACTGTGAGAATAATTTGTACTTTCACTTGTATTCTTCTTTTAAAAGCAACAAAGGAAATTTAAATTAAAACCATAAAATAAATATTTCAAACTAGAGATTGGCTAAATATTGATGCTGAATTCCTGGATATTTGTAGATGTTGGGAGAGAATTTTTATATTAAGTTATACTTCTGAGGAAGGTTTCTATGAGGTAGACTCATCATCTATCAATAAATCTACTATAACTTAAATTCACAAAATATATGGAAATCAAATATATCCTGTGACTTGAAGCCCTGTGTGTTCATCTGACAAATATCTATTGTATACACAGCAGTTACTAGATGTATCTGAGAAAAACATGACAAGTTAGACATGATCTCTGTTTAATAAAACAGGAAAAAAATATAAAGATAATTTATACAAAAATTTCCAAACAGTTTGTTTTTGTGTCTATTCATTGACACAAATAATTATGAGGAGATAGGAAGAAAGGTAGGGTTCATAAAATTTCAAGTGTTTTTTTAAAAGGTGGTAAGTGAATGGCAAGAAATGTACTCATTAATAAGATATGCCAAAGTTGGACTTCCTTGGTGACTTAGAGGTAAAGAATCTGCCTGAAATTCAGGAGACATAAGTTTGATCTCTGGGTCAGACATATCCCCTGGAGAAGGAAATGGCAACCTACTCCAGTACTCTTGCCTGGGAAATCCCATGGACAGAGGAGCCTGGCAGGCTACAATCCATTGAGTCACAATAGTCAAAAAGGATGTAGTGACTAAACCACCACCACCATGCCAAAGTTAGTCATTTCCACTAAAAATATTTTAAAATGAGAGAAAGGAAAAAAGAGACATTTCCCAAATGCTAATTATTGCATTATCTCATTTAATTATTTTATAGATGAGAAAATGAAATCAAAGAAAGGCTAAGTGAAAAGATAATAGACATTGAAGCAGGGATTAAAATTTATGTACTGGAATGTCAAAATTGAAACAATATAATTCTCCAAAGCTCAGTCTGATCAAACTCTCCTGGGCTCTTCACATACAAATATTCCGTGATCTCTTCCACAACATCTTTGTACACAAAGATAGCCAACCACACAGCACATACTGGGGTGATCAGTAGACTGGAGAAGAGCCTTAGATAACCTTGACAACTTTCCAAGCACTGGCAAGGCATGAAAAACTACTGCCAACCAAAGTGATTACAGGTTTTTACTATGGAATTGGACATTGGAGGGACAGAACAAGTAGGGAGAAGAAATGCATGCTTTTAACATCAAGAGATTTCAACATTCAACTGGATCATTAACTTTGACTTTAAACTGACCTGGAATATATTTAAATGAAGAAAATAAATACTGTTACTGATTAGAAAGAGTGACCCCTTTTACGCTCATCTGTAAAATCATTCAATAGTTTTCAGTTACATCTGATGTTGGCCATCTATTCATTTTTGCTGAGCATACAACAAAATGAACCAGGATGAATAAATTGGCTTTTGCAGTAAGTGGAATAATGTATCCCCATTATTAGAGGAATAATCATTATTAGAGGAATAATGTCTCCCCATTATTTTATTTATTAAAACCAATACATTAGTTTTTGTAGTAAGTGGAATAATGTCTCCCCAGTAAAGATGTTCAGAGCTTCTCAGGTGGCTCAGTGGTAAAGAATCTGTCTGTCAATCCAGGAGGTGCAAGAGACTTCGGTTTGATCCCTGGGTCTGGAAGATCCCCTGGAGAAGGAAATGGGAACCCACCCCAGCATCCCTGCCTGGGAAATCCCATGGACAGAGGAACCTGGTGGGCTATAGTACATCGGGTAGCTAAGAGTCATCATGATTGAGCAAACACACAGCAGAGATATTCAAAACTTGTGAATATGTTACCGTATATGACAAAGAAGACTTTGGAGATATGATTAAAGGTAAATACTTTGAGGTGGGAGATTGTTGTTTTTGTTGTTCGGTTGCTAAGCCATGTCTGACTCTTTGTGACCCCATGAACTGCAGCACACCAGGCTTCCCTGTCCTTCACTATCTCCTTGAGTTTGCTCAATATCATGGGCATTGAATCAATGATGCCAACCACCTCATCCTCTGTCGCCCTCTTCTCCTCTTGCCCTCAGTCTTTCCCAGCACCAAGGTCTTTTTCAATGAGTCAGCTCTTTGCATCGGGTGGCCAAAATATGGGAGCTTCAACATCAATCCTTCCAATGAATATTCAGGACTAATTTCCTTTAGGATTTGTCAAGAACCCTCAGGCCTTTATTGATTCCTGAATATTCATCTTGTTGGTCCTTTAATGGGCCGGAACCTGGTGGTTCCGAGAGTAAGAGAAAGAGAGAAGGAATAGAAAGAAAGAAGAAAAGAAAGAAAGACACAGGGACCCAAGCTCTGATGGAGCAAAGGTGTTTTTAATCAACATGGCGTGGGCATATATACTGTCTTACAAGGTGGTTATTCTCAGCAAAGACAAAGATGAAAATTCCAGACTTACAAAACATAAGATGATCCCTATCAAAGAGAGAGTTGCAAGCAATCACCTTTTACCATTTGGCTCCTAATAAGGAAGAGGGTACTTATCACCGTAATGAGAAATGCCTGGATTCCTCAGCCCCAGGAAAGGCGTGCCTCTCCTCTTAATGCCTGAATATTCAGGAATCAGTAAGGGCCAGAGGGTTCCTGACAGATCCACAACAGCACGCCGGAAGCCTCTTGTTAAATGCTTCCTAACAAGGATTGACTGGTTTGATCTCTTGCTGTCCAGGGACTCTCAAAAGTCTTCTCCAGTTCTACAGTCTGAAAGCATCAATTCTTTGATGCTCAGGCTTCTTTATGGTCTAGCCCTCACACCCATACATGACTAATGGAAAAACCATAGCTTTCACTATAAGGACCTTTGTCGGCAAAGTGATGTCTCTGCTTTTAAATACAGTGTCTAGGTTTGTCATAGCAACTCTTCCAAGGAGCAAGTGTGGGAGATTATTTTGGATTAACTGGCTGAACCCAATCTAATAACATGAGTTATACTAACTCAGAGAGACAACACACATCAGAAGGGCTTGATCCACTGCTGCTGACTTTGAAGATGGCAGGAGGAGGCCAGGAGCAAGAGAATGCAGGTGGCCCTAGGAGCTAGAAAAGTCAAAGAAACTGACCTCCCCTATAGTTTTCCAAAAGAAATTAGCCTTATTGACACCTTTAATTTAGCCTAGTAAGATCCACGTTGTACTTCAAACTACATAACTGTAAATAATATATTTGTGTTGCTTTAAGCTATTGTAGGTGATAATTTGTTGAAGTAGCAATAGATACATAAATAAGAGTAAATATAAGCAATGCATAATGTATATTATATATATGGTACATGCATGTGTGCATGCTAAGTCGCTTCAGTCTTGTCCCACTCTTTGGGACTCTATGGACTGTAGCCTGCCTGACTCCTCTGTCCATGCAATTCTTCAGGCAAGAGTGTTGAAGTGGGTTGCCATTTCCTCCTCCAAGGTATCTTCCCGAC